GCTTGATTTAATAACCTCCACCTGTAGTGACACTTGCCCGTGACTTGGGAGGACTTCTGATGGGGAATCCGCATCAATAGTCAGAGTGTCTAAAGCAGGGACATCATGGAGCACATGGAAAATCAAAAAGAAGAAAGAAACAAAAGTTATAAAAAAAGAGGTGTAATTAATACAGTAAAAAAGCAAACAAAATTTGACAATATAGTACAAATAAAGCATCTTGAGAAATCAAAACTCACGTGAAACCAGTTTGTTTGTCTTGGAGAAGGTTGAGGGCTTCAAATAGCGAGGAGCCCCTGGGTACAAGAATGGAAAACACAGACGATGCACCGCTTGATTTAATAACCTCCACCTGTAGTGACACTTGCCCGTGACTTGGGAGGACTTCTGATGGGGAATCCGCATCAATAGTCAGAGTGTCTAAAGCAGGGACATCATGGAGCACATGGAAAATCAAAAAGAAGAAAGAAACAAAAGTTATTAGGAAAACTCATTTTGAGATTAAAATACTAAAACTTAACCATATACTACTTTGTATACAATATATAACGTTGAAATACTCTAAATGCAGCCTATTTTATTTCTCTGCAAATACAATTCTGCTGATTGATACTTCACTGAGCTTGCATGTATGTTGTACATACCATCCTCATTGCGGCATTCTTGGCTCTTCAGATGAAGGTAAGTGCGTTGGTGTAGAGCTGGCAGGACCTGAGAGATGGCCATAGGGTTATGGTATGTTCCTTTCTTAACCTCTGCCCTTAAAGCCTCCATAGCAGAGCCACATTCCTCCATCTGACTGCCCATAGCCATCAAGGCCTGTAAGACAGAGAACCAAGAGAACCTGTCACTCAAATAAGGCTTTTTCATTGAACCAAATATTTAATATCTTCATTCTTACCTGCACCGCCAATCCCGTACTGAACTCATTGCCCATGTGACCATCAGCTCTCTTAGAGTCAAGAAGCCTCTGCTTAATGGTGGCAAGAGCCCTGTCTAGCTCTGCAGTATCTTTAACAGCAATTCCCTCGTCTTTCAGACACTGCAGGGCCATGCCTGCCACTGCATGCGAGTCTGAAGGGTGAAGGAGGAAGTCATATTAGTTAGTGACCTCAGGACAAATTCACATATTTCCTTAAATTTAATACAAAAGGAGGACGCAAAAAGGAGAAATTTTGGCTGTGCTGGACACTTTCCCACACAAAGCTGTATGGCTTCAGAATCTTCAAAATCTAAAATATGGGATACTTTGATGGTATTTCGCATCCTTTTTGAAGGCTTCAGTTTCCATTCATTGTAATTGCTTGAAATGTTTTGTGTAACACAGAAGAAAGTAAGTCATTTGGGTTTGGATTTACAGTGAACCATTTCTTTAAACCAAAAAAAGAGTTGATTTAAACTCACCGACACATAAGGACTCTCCATGTTTTAACTGTCTATGTTCCACAGCATGGATGAGTTTTTGGCTGACATGTGCGCTGACTCTAACACCGCTCACACACAGAGCCAGAATGCCCAGAGAGTATTGGTAGTAGTTGGTCTTTGGACGGTGACCGACTGCAGAAAAGAATATTAAAATTAGAATTACAGAACAACAAAATGACATATATACCTGTAGATATACAGATATAGATATTAAATAATACTTTTATTCAGCAAGGATACATTAAAATTGGTTTGACAAAAGATTCCTATTTCAAATAAATGCTGTTTTGAACTTTCTGTGTAAAAATCTACTACAGTTTTCCACAGAAATATTAATCAGCACAACTGTTTTCAACATTGATAACAAGATCAAATGTTATTTGAGCAGCCATTTAGCATATTAGAATGATTTCTGAAGGATCATGTGACACTGAAGACTGGAGTAATAAGTAATGTAAAATTCCACTTTGCCATCACATGAATACATTACATTTTAAAATGTATTAAAATAGAAAAAATTGCAATACTATTTTACAATATTACTGTTTTGACTGTATTTTTAATCAAATAAATGCAGCCTTGTTGGTAAGCATAAGAGACATTAAAAAAAATCTTCCGGACCCTATTACAAAAAATGGCCCCTTACATGCAATGTTCTGTTTTTCTTCCTCCATCTCTTTCTTTAGGTGAATGAGGAGAGACTCCTTCATCTCATTATGAGTGAGATGTACACTCTCCAGATCATGACAGGAAGACTTTAAAGCCAAGATGTACAGAGCTAGGCGGCCAACCACCAACTCATTATTTCTGAGAGATCTGCAAGCAGATATATACAATAGTAATAATACAAGCAGAACCAAAATCAGATGAAATAGAACAATATTCTAGAATAGAATAGAATAGATGACCACAGAACTAGGACGGATTGAATTTATTTCCACTACAGTGACAATCGTTCCTGAAGTAATTTACAGCTGTTTTAGAGTTTAATGAGAAAGATGTGAAATGTGTTCCATACTTCTCAATATCATCATGAAACTCTGCCTTTATGCGGTTGAGATGTTCACTCTCTTTAGCTAGATTATGGTGTGTTGAGAGCCGCAGGGCGATGTGCACACTGGGATTGGGGAGGGTCTCTTGCGTGTCCACTGACTGCAGCAGCTGCTTATTGAGGGACAGGAGAAGAGCCTTGTGATCTGAAGCTGAAAGATGATAGCAAGAAAACTGAGAGTATGAAATTAAATGCAGACTATCATAAACGTTGCATCACTGTTCTCATTGAGCACTGTTGCTTCTTTTAAAGTGCCACTGTACAGTATAGTTGGTTTATGTTCACTGCTGCCTCAGCAATACAGGTCACAGCGACCTTTTTTCACCTACTCATTCAACCATAAAATACACTTTGTCTCAGAATTGTCACAGTCACAAAAGAGAGGGCAAAGAACAGAGTGAAATGATTCCAATTATTCTGAGCAGAACTCCTGCTGACAGGAAAAACAGAAATGACTCAGTAAGAATATGCTGAATGTTATGAATACGGTAGAGTAATTGGATTACAGAATAGTACATTATTGGTTACATGAATTGGTTACATACGGTGGCCGAGAAGTGCAAAGCAAATCACAATTCTGAAAACAAAATAACAAATTACAAACACAAATGCAAGTCTAAAAAACTAAATAACAATTCAGAAAGCACAACAACAAGTCAGAAAACACAATGACAAATTCGAAAACAAAATAACAAATCAGAAAACACAATGACAAATTCGAAAACAAATTAACAAGTCAGAAAACACAACGACAAATCAGACAAACCGGAAGAGGTAGGTATAGTTTGAGACAGCGCCATTGGTTTGGGATTACTCACTGCTGACTGGACGAGACATCTGTCAATCAACGTATACAGGGAAGAACCAGCCGAAGAACAGC